GAAGGCATCTGCTTTCGCGTTCCAGGAGAGAAAAGAAATGTTTTTTCCGCGTCTGGTGAAAGGTGTCGAAAGTACCGATTTCCGCATTCAGTTGAAAAGTCGTGCCAGCTGCCTCATTCAGCCATACTTCCAATTTGTAGCTGTTTAACTTCATATTTCGCCATGGTACTGCTATAGAACGGCTTTTCCGAAGACGTGAATATCTGTCGAACGTCGCGATTCCTGCATTGCCTCAGAAAGTGGTGGCACATGCTTTATATTGTGTCGATTCGTCGTCGAAGCTGAACGCAACTGCTTTCGCATTTCATTGATGGAAGGAAATGTTTCTTCCTCGTCTGCTGAAATGTGTCGAAAGTACCGATTTCCGGATTGATTTGGTAAGTTGTGCCAGCTGCCTTATTCAGCCATACTTCCACTTTCTAGATTTTTATCTTCACATTTTGCGATGATACTGCTATAGAACTGGTTTTCCGAAGACGTGAAAATCTGTCGAACGTCGCGATTGCTGCGTTGCCTCAGAAAGTGGTGGCACATGCCTTATATTGTGTCGATTCGTCGTCCTAGCTGTAGGAATCTAGTTTCGCATTTCCTTGATGGNTTTCCTTTCCCAGTACAACCAAAAAGCGGAAGCCTTTTCAGCTCTGTGGAGACCATCAATTATGCGGTTCCGGTCAGTTTCCGGGCTTGCCATTAAATTCCGTCGCCTGTCCAGTATATTTATGAGACTCATTCAGCCATACTTCCAATTTGTTGCTGTTTAACTTCATATTTCGCCATGGTACTGCTATAGAACGGCTTTTCCGAAGACGTGAATATTTGTCGAACGTCGCGATTCCTGCATTGCCTCAGAAAGTGGTGGCACATGCTTTATATTGCGTCGATTCGTCGTCCTAGCTGTAGGAATCTCGTTTCGCATTTCATTGATGGAAGGAATTCTTGGAAAGTGGTGGCACATGCTTTAAATTGTGTCGATTCGTCGTCGAAGCTGAACGCAACTGCTTTCGCGTTCCAGGGGAGGTAAGAAATGTTTTTTCCTCGTCTGGTGAAAGGTTTCGAAAGTACTGATTTCCGCATTGAGTTGGAAAGTTGTGGCAGCTGCATTATTGAGCCATACTTCCACTTTGTAGTTGTTTAACTTCATATTTCGCGATTAGACTTCAAAAGAATGGTTTTTCTGAAGACGTGAAAATCTGTCGAACGTCGCGATTCCTGCGTTGCCTCAGAAAGTGGTGGCACATGCTTTATATTGTGTCGATTCGTTGTCGAAGCTGAACTCAACTGCTTCCGCCTTCCAGGGGTGGAAAGAAAGGTTTTTTCTGCGTCTGGTGAAAGGTGTCGAATGTACCGATTTCCGCATTTAGTTCAAAAGTTGTGCCACCTGTCTTATTCAGGCATACTTCCACTTTGTAGCTGTATAACTTCGTATTTCGCGATTAAAGTTAAAAATATATAGGTTTTTCTGAAGACATGAAAATCTGTGGAACGTCGCGATTTCTGCATTACGTCGGAAAGTAGTTTTGAAGTTGGAAATTTTTCGAAAGTGGCGATTCTCGCTTTTTTTTATATGCTTCTGTTGGGGATTTTTTATTATTATTGTCATCTTCGTAGCTGTATGAGACGAATTTCTTCTTCATTGGTGGATGGGAAATTTTGTTTCTATGCATTTTTAAATATTTGAATTATTTTGAAATGTTGCGAAAATGGCTTTTTCGTCAATTAGTCCACATTTTATGATAGGTGTTTTTTCTTGGCATGGATATTCATATACCCTTACATTATTTGGTATTGAGTAGATACGTATCAATTTTTATGTGACTGTCTGATTAATACTGTATGAAAACCGGTTGCAATAAAAAATGGACTATTTGTCGTTGCCATCCTCGTATTTTAATTTATCCTGGACCTCATGTGATTTCATGAAATCCTTCAGTTTCCTACCGTTGATAGAATAGTAAGTAATGGTAAAAAAAAATGCGATACTGCCTTTATTTTCTTTGCCTGCAATGTATTTATTGCGGATTTGACCTGGATACACACAATAATTTCGTTTGATCCCGCATTCGAAAATATTTTTATTCATAATATTGCTTCGAAGTAGAATCACAACTCGATGTACGTGTAATCCCCTGTTCTCATCGAACAATTGCAAGTTATTTTTTATTCGTGGTCTGAAAATGATACATTCAATCGAGTCTTCCTTGTCTTTCAATTTTCTTGGTATTATTATTAGTCACAGCTAGTTGAACGTGGTTTCGATCGCCTAGCTCCATTAAAAAGTTGGGATTTCTTTTTGGTACTTTCCTTGATTTAACCATCGAAAGGAATTTTTTTTTAATGTCGCTTCACTTGCTGTGAATTAAACTCAGAGGTTGTTGCATTTACTTTCAAGCTCTTGAAAATTTCCGCACCAACTGTGGTACTTGCCTGAATGTGTTACATTTCAATTTCTGAACGTGCCACCCGACAACTTTTTTTAACATCACATTAGGATTCCTGTAGCCTCCGATATCCCTTTCATTATGACATCGTGATGCTTCGGAAAACGTGCGATTTTCATTTTCAAGAAGAAAGGGATTATTACAGTGAAAACTCGCATTTCAAGGGCATGGCTGGTAGGTAAGTCCCTGTTAGCATGTTATCCTCATCATAACTCCATGCTTCATCTCTCTTTAATTTATGACACTTTTAAAAACCATATTAATTGACTTGGCGCCGTTCACCTCAAGTCTGTTGAGTTTGCTATATTGAAGTAGGATGTCCAAACTAATCTGCAGGTCTTTAGGCATTAAAGATAATAAAAACAAGTCGCCGCATATAGAAGGCATGGAATAGGGCGCCGTACCAGATTGGGGAATAGGAGATTCTCAGCCATCAATATACATCAATATACTCAATAAGTTATCTACCTGAATAAGAAAGAAACATCCGAGGGGAAAANCCTCACCGTGAGTTTGTTTTTTTTTGGGGGGGGGGGGGGGGTGGGCGATTCCTGATAACTCGAACTTCGGATAACTCGAAACGATTTGCCCGGTCCCTAAAAGTTCGAGTTGACGAGTTTTCACTGTATATGTATTTCCCTGCCGGATACAAAGGAAACGAAGACTTCTTCATTTCGGGAGAGGAACCGCTCCGAAACGCTGGACTTCCCGACATCATCGACATTTCTCTGCTGCTGGCACTTCTTGGACCCAAGTACGAAAGATGCCGGATTCGGTCGCTCTCCTCTAAGAGAGAAGCGAGAATGTGTCGCGATCTTTTCCGAAAGTCATTAAAAGGAGGTACTGGATAGTCGCTTTAATAAATAGAACTTACAGTTTTCCCCTGTTATCTGCTACCCGGAGCAAGTGCGCTCAAGGATTCCGTTACCCACTGCAGGAGAAACGGAAGCAAGAAGTAAAACATAACTATATTTTCGCCACAGCTGCAAATATCCCCCCACTCTCTTCTTGGTCAGTTTATCACTGCTCTCTGAGCAAGCAGCTTTCTTGGTATTTTGCTCAATAAATGGTGAGAACATTATCACATGTAGCATGTTATTAGCATCTACTACTTTAGTACATGGTTTACTAAGCCAAGGCTTAGGATTATTTTAGTGTTCAGGCTTTTAATTCAATAATAGTAAAAATTGCAAATAAATAAATACATGCGGCCTGCAGTCAAGAAAGGTTGTTCATCACTGGTTTAGATGGTGACGTATTTTGGCAGAAATTAAAAGGTATATAGGGTGCATTGCCGTATCTAGGATTTCATTTCCGGGGAGGGGGTCTTGAGGTCTGGCGTATGGGCTGTGGCAATTTTTTTGTATTCTGGTAATTGTAAGTCTTTTTGACATATCTGGATTTTCCTGTAAGCTGCAGTGTTTAATAAGCCGTAAGCTATTAAAGATGGAAAAGACCATGTTCTGCACTGTTTACACTAACGAATAGCAGTATGGCAAAAATTTAAGGAAGATATTTCGGGGAGGGGGGGTTTGAACCCCATGAACCCCCCACCCCCTAAATACGGCCTTGATAGGGTGATTTAAAAAAAAAAGCGCTCCACCGTTTTCTATGGGAGAAACACAGTTTCATAAATGCAAAAAAATGTATACGTTGGCTATGCGATCAACATTGGACGGTTACCAGGTGTTGAGATGCATGTCAGCGTTTTTTCAGCTCCCTTCCCCAAGTCGTGCCAGTGCCCATTTGGAAATGAATTGAAGGTCGGATTATTTTGCGAATAGCCTGCAGACAAAATAGATATGTCCATACTATGAGAGGAGGTCGAGAAAAGTGAGTTTTAATTTGATAATGCGGACACAAAATGGCCCTCAACCCCTATATTTTGAATTCCTGACTGCACGGTTATTATCAATATAATTTCACCACCCTATTTTGATCCGCCGTAACTTTTCAAGGGACGGTTAGATGCAGCTGATGACTCGACAGAGAAGTTCATGAATCGGAGAGGTTACTTTGAAATCCGCAAAATGGCGCTGTTTGTCGATAGAGGGCGCTGTTGTTGACCGGGGAGACCCCGGTCAACATTTTCGTGCTTCGCCACTTTTTAGATAGGATGAGAAAAACTTGTAAAGTTTATCTTTTGAGCCTTCGAACCTTTCATGAGCCTCTCTGCCAAAAGAAAATCTACTTCATCGTGAGCCCTTTCAAAGGATTTGGTCTTGAAGGCAAATAAAAGTACATGAATTTAGTCAAAATCGGTTTAAGGCCCAAAGGGGGCAAGCCACTCCATTTGAATCTTGGGGTGATGGAGCATAGACCATTACTGCATCTGAGGTGTAATGATCCACCTGTAATCTTTGTAACGAGACAATACATAACTCAATGAATTGTTCGGAGAAAAGCCCAGACAATCTCAACACCTTGCATATGTCCATTATCAAAAGTTCATGAATCTAATAATTTTTGCTGGAATGTACAAATCTTACTTCTCAAAGAAAACGGTGGAGCGTTTATTTTGAATCGCCCTATACTGGCGAAGTTCACAGTCTTTTTGAACGAATCATTCGTATAGCACGCCAGCGATCCGGCAACACTGGTGTGCGGCGGTATCCGGCGCTGCTTGTACGCTGCCGAGTGCATGGTGCCGACGACGCTGGGGTGAGGCGAATACGGGATCGGTGGTTTGTGGTGCAAGGGACGCTCAGGACTCTCGACTCTTTCGAATCACGGTTGGACGGGGATAAAGGTTGCTCGGGAAAATGAAGCTCGTGAGGTTTTTAATGAAATTATCCCACGAAACAGTCACTATCGAGCTGAAAAATGGAACACAGGTGAGTATGGAGGGACCGAAATTCTCTCATTCTTTATGATCTACCCCAGTCAAGGACACATTTAAGATTATGAATTCATTGTTAGGCTAGGACAAGTCGAGCGCTGTCTCATTCGCAAGTGTTCGACTCGGAGTGATATTTTGCTATCCGAACTGGAAAGGTCCACCAGCGTCATTGAGCTAAATAAATAGGTAGCCTAACCTTAGGCCTAGATTCTATGCGAACTTGCTCCTTGGGCTGTCCAACGTCATCATGCAAGTAGCAACTAGATCCAAGCCATGCATGTCACCTAGCCATCTGCTCTCACCTCTGTCCATCTGAACCTTCACGAGTCTGGTGGACACCTGCTTTGTGCTCATACTGATACCATTTAGAAACCTGGACAACCGGCATTTCAACCCCCCCCACCCCCCACCTCTTTTTTTCTCTTTACTCTCTGGCACAATACAAAGTGAACTGTGACATGAAACAATAATAGTGCGTGTTGCAGTAGTTACTTTAGGCACAGATATCAGCAGACATCTCTTGAGCATTTTTAAGATTCACTCAGTGTATTTAGGGGTAGCTTATCTGATCTGGGGAGAAGTATGTGCCAGAAAGAAATTGTCTTGTAGGGGTGGATCATAAGAGTGCAGGATCAGGTAACCATCAGGCAAGACCATGGGATTGACCCAAGCTGCTAAATGGGATGTATGTTACTGTTTTTAATCATTTGGATGAGGACAGATGACCCCGTGATTGATTTTTGGCCCACTGGGGTGTTCTTCACCATCACCACTTCACCACTCATCAGTTATTAGTTTTTGCATCACCATCATTTGTTATTCCTATCTCTCCTCTTATGTGTGGCACATATGGTGATATTATTCATAGTTCCCTACTAAACATGCTAGCATTTTGGCCCTCCATGCTTTCCCCTCCAGGGATTATGCCTGCACCTGCATTCCCCTATGACCCTGGTCGCTTCTCTTACCCGGCACTATGGGATTCTCCCCCTCCCAAGTCAATATGAGAGAAAGAGCTTTTGCTAGCAAAGCTCAATCTTGTGCCATGCTAGAGGAAGCCTCAGCTCTCCAAGGCATGTGAGCATTGCATGCTACCTCTCTATGGAAGGGGTAAAAGAGACAGCACAAGAAAAGGAGTGTAAAAATAGTCTCATACACAAGGATTGCTCAAATTTGTTTGCTTTAGGGGTCCCATTGCAATTGAAGTGTGATGAAATCTTGCAAGATTGCACAAAAATTTCAACCAAAGCAGTCAGTGGTTTTTAAGCGATTTAATATGACTAAACAGCATGATATTAAATTCAGCAATTTTAGACTACTTCCAACATTTACTCTTTGGCATAAGTATCTCATGGGCTGCCTTGAATTTGCAAATCACAACTGCCAGATGGTTTGTAGGGATTTTTATTTTTTGTGTTTCAGCATCAGTCATAGGAAGCTCTTGAGTCGCTGTAGGAAAACCATGTTCTCTTAGTCCTTTTCCATTTGTTATATTTTCTCTTTCATTGTGATTGATGGTTCAAAAACTGCCTATCTTCATCATTGACCACATCCATCTCTTCACCTTCACCTTGACCAGGTCACGGCCTAACCCAATTTTCCCCTCCCTTTGCCCCAAGTGGAAGAAAGATATGACCTTGGTTTAGGCCTAGTCTGTTGATACCTTCCTATTTGTGATATTGGGCCTATTTTCAGGAACATCTGAATGTATTGCTACCATGTGATTTAATTAAACCGACATTGTACATTTTCCACTGAAAACTGAAAGAGAAGAGCATGGGCCCGGAACTCCCTTAGGCCATGATTCAAAGGAACCAATGTATGTCATGAGCACGTGAACATGACGTAACTCATGCCATGCTCATCGCTTTCATGTCCCACACCTTCCTCAACAGGTTTATTTAGACATGGTTTTAAGAGGCAACTGCCTAAGAAAATCTGAGAAATTCCTTGTAATTCCCTGGGATGCTGATGTTGATCTGTTGTGTCTCTGAATTTTTGTGCAACTTTTGATGCATGTTTGCATATAAATGTAATCCATGGTTATGGCATATTTCTTTCATCCTGTACCCCACCCATGGGGGGCACAAGTCCTCCATCCCCCTGGAGCAGGAAAGCTGTGCTGCTTGCAGTGCTTGGAATCCTGTTTTACCTATAGTTCCATAGGTGACTCCTATCAGAGATAGGAGGAACTTCATTTAAATTGAATTGAGGACTGTTGGGTTTTTGATGATGAGGACCAATAGAAGTAGTGTAACAACTATAAATTTGCATCAAGTTAAGCAGGCAAATTACTTTTAGTTTGCATGGATAAATTGAAATGGGGTGAAAAGCAGACAACATTCATGAGTGGAATGCCTACTTCATTCTATGTAAAGTCAATGCCCTTACATCTGCTTCTTCGGGAGTTTGAGGAAGTGTGTGCCTCAGGTTAATGAGTGAATGAGCTTCGTAAACAGCTTTCAATACTGATACTTCCATTGGTTAAAAGTCCTTTAATGAAACATGGACTCCTATGGGGGTGAAAGAACTCTTTAGCTTAATATACCCATTTATCTCTACTAATTGAAGTGGGAATTGAATTTAGGCCTAAGACTTTTCCATTCAGTATGGAAATATAGGGCCATACAATGCCAGGCTCACTTTCTATTCTGTTTCTGACAAGTTTTTCTGCCCACTCATGAAAGTGTGCTCTTGTAACCTACCTGGTCAGAGTACCAACTAACATCTCAGTTTGTCATTCGTGCCTAGTGAAGGTGGCCAGTCTTTGAAAGAACATTGAGCTATATGGCTATAGGTAATGATGCCTTAACTGGTTATCTCTGTCAATCATTTTCTGTCACATAAAAATGCAGTGGCATAAGTGTATGTGAAAAGTATAACAGTATTTGCACCCAGACAGCCTGTATGGGTGTAATTGTAAGGTTTATAGGCAAGTGTAAGTAACAATGTCACATTGCCTGGGACATTGAAGTAGGAAGATTTTTTATATGGAGTTTAAAAAGTTCACTGTTGATGCTGTCACCTTCATCGAAAGCCTAAGACTGGGAAAATGCCCCTAGTTTGGAAGATATTGATTCCAATATGTTTGAGAAGGGTCACAGTTGGCTCTTTTGGCCCAGTACAGAAGGAATGTAGTTCTCTTGATCTGTTTTTCACCTTTTCTGTGACTCATTGAATTCTAGCAGCTGAAGGCTGATCAGTTTCAGATTAAGTGAAAGCATTGAAGAACTGATGAAAACATTTGACAGGTTCTAGAAGTACTCAGGGTTCACATTAGCTTTTTCAAATCTTAATTCCTGGTGCCTAGCTTTAGCTCATGTTCAATGTGTCCCATGGACTTGTGTGTTTTGCAAATTTGAATCCCTCCAAGAAAATATGAGTCAGGGATTTGCTATAGTGAGTTATGTGAACCCTGGTACTGTTGTAGCTTGTCAGCTCACCTCATGATTAGTAGATTGCATCTGATGTAATGTTAATGTGCTGGCATCTCTGGAAATATTTATTGGAAATTGGGACTGTCATGCTTCGTGAAAACATGACAGATTGGGACATTGGATTATTCTTGCAAGTAAGCTTGTTCAATATATATTTTTCTAACTCTGAAATCTCTCCTGGAAATGTGTCTCATACATAGCGAGCCTTTCTTCCTTGTATCTTGTGACACAGACTTTTGTTGTGTTTGCTTATTTTTAGGTGTCCTTTTTGTCAATGAACTCATATGCAAGTGATTCACAGTTCTCCCTCCCTTTAGGGATGCAGATCCAATACTATGCAAAGGGGGTGGTTGTGACTTTCTCTGAGGACAAGTGATGGCTGAAACCAAACAGTTAATGTCATTGTAATTTTCATGTAATAAGCATCATGGCTTATGCTCAATCATGAATGAATGAATGAAATGTAGGCTTAGGCTAGACCTTCGTGATGCCCAATGAGGGAAAATTTAGGCCTAAAATTCAATGCAATGTTTTTACTCCTCACATAGTGAAACTATGATGGAGGTATTACCCTTTTACCCTTAACTTCTGTAAATGAGGCAAATGTCAAATAAAATATGTTCCTGATGTTAATCATCCTTTTTTTTACAGTTATAACTAGAGTATTCAGTAAAATGAAGTACTGATGCCTTGGTTTCACTGCCACTGCCAGTGCTGGTGCTTGGGGTGGGAGATTAACTTGAGCAAATAACTAAATATTATGTTCAGGGTGGGCCAAAAAAAACTGGACAGCTTTCAACTATACACTACACTTCACCCACTGCACATATTTTAATGCAGTTTGTGGCATTTGAGAGAAGAATGAGATAGCTTTAACCTGAGGTATTAACCTTCCATATATCTGCAGCAGTTTCAGAAATTCAGGAGCTCATACAAACAGCAAACAGAAACAGTTGCAGCACTCTCAGAGGGAGACGGCAAGTGACCTTCACCTATCCGGTCCTGTGGCAACATAATTTTTGCTTGGTGTTTATATGAGCTTCTAAATTTCTGAAACCGTTAAAGATATTTGAAACATAAATACACCATTGTAAAGCTTATTCATTCCTCTTTCAAATGCTACAAACTGCATTAAAATATATGCTCTGAGTACAGTATAGTGTATCATTGAATGCTGGGGTTTTTTTTTGGCCCACCCTGTATTTGTATGAGATTAGTGTAAGAGGTATGATCATCTTGAGACAGCTTGGATGAATTTGTTTCATGCTAATGCCAGAGCTGTTCCATACTTTATGAAAGTGGAAGTACTTTTCACATAAAGCACTTGATATTCATTCCTCTTCTCTTGCAATGCACATGATAAGAGTTTTCACAGCTGTGCATAGTTATCTCCAATTTTTCCTGGATTTTTTAGGTACAAGGAACAGTTACAGGTGTGGATCCAGCCATGAACACTCATCTGAAGACTGTGAAAATGACCCTGAAGAATGGTTCAGTGAGTCAGTTGGATACTCTGAGCCTGCGAGGGAACAACATCCGTCACTTTATTCTTCCCGATGCCCTGCCGTTGGAAACCCTACTTGTTGATGACACACCAAAGGCCAAGAGGAAGCCTCCACGTGAGGGAGCACCGCGTGGTGGTGGCAGCGGCGGCGGCGGTGCTGCTGCATTCGCTGGCCCCCGTGGTCGTGGCCGTGGACGTGGTGGTCCCCGAGGTCGAGGCCGTGGGCCAAGAGGGCGTGGCTTTAGGCGTTGATCTCAGAATCATTTATAACATCTTTTTTGGACTCCCGTCTCGTGAGTTTAAATTGGTACATGGTACCTCTGAAATGGACAAGTACTGCGTGGTACATCGGATAAAATCAATGGATGTTTTCATTTCTCATCTCTCTTTCCTTTGAATAAAACATCAATTGGCACAACGTGTTGTGCAACATTCAGAATGAAGTTCCATTTTCTTGCTTTCATTGCATTCATGGATTTTAAGTACCATAATTGATTAAGTACACAGATTAGGTTGTCACTTAGGTGGGTATGCTCATGTTTCTTAGCTCAACCTTGGCAGGTTGAGCTAAGAAACACGTGGTTGTGAGAACAAAGTGTTGTGAGGTGGCAATGACTGTTTATGAACTCTTCTTAAAGAATTGCCTAAGTAAACTTGATATAAATGAGCTGATTGAGAATGGGTCTTTGTAACCTTGCTCCTATAGGGATCATGTGAGGGAGACCTCATTGCTGGTTTCAATTTACCTGACTGTATACCCATTCTGTTTTGCTATTGTCATGTGGTGCAAAATTGCCTTGATCACCTGTGTCATAGTAATGAGATGGCCCAATCTGTCCACTGGATCACTCTCCACATCAATAGCAACATTGCAACAATGGAAGCTCCTGTCAACTGCCACCAGTAGACTTTCCCTCCATCCACTATCTTTTGATGCCTCTTGCTTCAGTGGGCCCCTCAGGTGACAACCTGTTTCATTGTATGAATTGCTTTTCTATCTTTCTGTTGCAAAAAGTTAGATTACACCAAATTTTGCCATATTTCATTAGGCGTTGCTGATGCCTTAGACCAGGGGTGTCAAACTGGCAGCCTACTGGCCAGATCTGGCCCACCAGTCCATTTTGTCTGGCCTGCAAAGTCCTCTTCAACAGTTGGTTACAGAAGAGTGCTGCAAATTTCAGCTTGTTTGCATTAAAGATTAGGTGTTTGGTTTTATTGCAGCCCCTAATCGCCCACGAAGGCTTCCAACCGGCTTACAGCCTAATCGAGTTTGACACCCCCTGCTATAGACAGATACCCTCAGACTATTCACTCAGTAACCGAAGTCAGAATTACCTTGTTTTAGAGGTGGTGGTGGAAAATGTCCTGTATCCATCAGACATCTGAAAGTCTCTGCAGACCTTTATTTTTTTTTTACCCCTAAGTGTTGATGTCTCTCATACCCATGTGGTGACCCTTGCTTCTCCATGAATCCCACACCTCTCTGCATTCTTTTGCAGGCATCATTGTTGACCGGGTGACCAAGGATGATTACAAAAGAGCTCCTGTTTTCAAAGGGGAGAAAGTATGATTCTGGCCCATATGCCCTATGCACAGCTCAAAGAATTGTTCTGAGAAAAACTCAGACAATCTTCTCGAGTCCTTGTATATTTCCAATATCAAGAGTTTATGAATCTTATATGAATCATACTTTCTACTCTTTGAAAACGATGGAGCTTTTTGCAATTACCCTCTGTCACCCGATTAATAACAGCGCCACCTTGTGGAAGTGAAAAAACCTATTAGACTCATGAACCTCTGTCAAGTATCAGCTGGATCCAACTGTCTCTTGAAAAGTTAAAGTAGAAAAGTTCCTTGAGTTTTGAGATGGTCGAGCACAGGTCATCACCTCACTTGAGCTGGAATGCTCCACCTCTAAGCACTTTTAATTCACCTCTAAATGGGTATTGCAGAATTTAGGTAGGGGTGCTGAAAAAATGCTGGCAAGCATTTCAACACCTTGTAACTGTCAAATATTGATCACATAACCAATTTAATTTCATTTGTGGAATATATGAAACAGGGGTTTCTCCCATAGGAAGCGGTACAGCATTTTTTTTATTGTCATATGTATCTGATACTGGCTCACAACAGACTCTAAATCATGGCACTCTGAAATGCATACTAAGTAAAAATGATCCTTAGTTGCCATGTTTTGCTTTTTCAAACAACTTTCATTGTGTAGATGACATCACCTCACTGCTCTTTACAGCTAGTACATGTCACTGGTGCAGGACTGATTTTAGGAATGGTAAAAGTTCTTGAAATGGTACTGGAAGGTTTGTTGAATAGCTAAAGTCCATTCACTTTGAGAAGAGCTCGTCAGCAAACCTACATGACAGCTGCGATATTTCGGACCCATTAAGTCAGGCCTCGGAGAAAAATCAGAGTTGCCAGAAATGGAAAGAGTATGCTTCAATTTTATTGGTGCATGTTGCACCTAAGCATCCGAAGCAAACCAGGTAACTTGAAAAATGAACTAAAAAAATTACATGAAAAACAAGGGTACGTCACAACCCCTAAGTGACCTTCAAGGTGAATAGGGTTCACATCAGGCATGATATTGTCATCAACGGAGTCACTCGATTCATCGTCATTCGTATGAATGACAATGGGGTCTATTTTCCGATCCATGTATTCATCAGTAGCAATATAACTTCTCTCTACTCCTTCGTAGTGATCCACGTAGGACGCCCAATCATCAGGTGTGATTCTGTCACACACGGACTTGATCAAGTCACTGACACTATGTGGATTGCAAAGGCAGTTCTTTTGGGTAACACGACTTTTGATGGTATGCCACACCATTTCGATTGGGTTAAAACAGCAGTGATAGGGGGGAAGCCTAATGACAGTGTCCGTGCTCCAGTGCCATTTCATCCACGATGTACTTCTTATCTAGTGACACACCACTCGCATGAATGAGCTTCAGAAGGGCAGCCTTGACAGGGATTGGATTTGGAATCTAGATATTGTTGTGATGCATGAACTGTATGATCTCTTTCTTGCTGCTCATATTTGGAGGTTTATGAGCTAATCTTGAATGAGATGAAGCATTGTCCATGACAATCGCAGTAGGTTCTCTGAGATTAGGAAATAGTTTTTCCCGCATCCAAGTTTCAAACACATCGCCATTCATATCATCATAATAGGCATTGCGGCCAATCGCAAACTCTGAGGCATCAGAGTTTGCGATTGGCCGCAAAGAGGGCACCTTCAACGAAGCCCCCAACCTCCAGCATGAATAATGATCAAGTGATCTCCTCTCCCTGTAGGGCCCTTGAAATGACATAGTTTGGATCCATCCGAGAAAGATCTCACTGACGTATGCGTATCATGCCGCGTATCATGCCACGTCTCATCAATGAATACCAGATCAAGGCCTCGTTTTCTGGCATCTTTGATTTCTTCCAGATATTTGAACCTGGAGATTGAGGAATATTGATTAGAACATTCTACGGAAATCCTTATTAAAGCTTGACATTTAATTACGAATTAGACTTTTGGAAAACTTACCGGAGAGTCACAATCCTGGGTGATTCCATGATAACTTTTCTTTCATCAACAGTCGTGTAATTGAATCCCAGGACTTGTGCCATGATTTGCTATAACCATGTTCGTTTGTAGGGAAAAGCATCCCGTCCCACGAGTCCGATCAATCAGTCGATCGTACACCATGCTTGTCATAGGCATGATCCGCTCCTGATAAAAACTGTAAACAGTGCTTCGAATCACATTCAGAGTGAAGCTGTCGATTTTGAAGAATCGCCGCTTTTCCGATGTGCCTCCCTCTTTTTCTTGGTGTCTCACGGATTTGATCTCCAATAACAACTCTTTTGCTTGTGCTAACTGACACTGACTCCCACAGTCTGTGATCGCAATGGCCACCTTCCACATTGGATGCCTCGTTTTCTCTTTCATCCACGTTTGCTCCATCACCACCAATCTCCTGCATTTCTATCATAGCATTCCCTCCGTTCACATTTACTTCACCAATCCACAGCCTCCACATTTCGCGTCCTCTCTCTTCCACAACACAGGTGAAAGTGGAGACAACAGAGAGAATATCCCTATTCGACTACCCTGAACTGTCAACCAACCGGGCAGGTTGAGAAGGTGCTAATTGCAAGCCCTCTTTCCCCCTCAGCCAGTCGTTAATCATGACAACAATACGCTTTTGAGAGATGAGAAACTAGCTCTTTCGAAAGTGAATGGACTTTACTACAAAACTAGCATGAATTTAGATATAAATGCTGCTCATGTGCACATTAATGCCAGAGCAAATGTCGTTATTGCACCATTCTTGTGTGTTACAATCACAATTAGGATCAATTAATTCATCCATGATGTTGCAGGAAGAGATTTTCAACTCATTTTTGCAAATGCAAATCATACCTCCTGTAAGCATTGGATATTCTTCTAACTACTCCAAAATCTTGTATCCAAGGTAGGTTTATCACTTATAAAAGATGTCTGCCTTTGTGACAGCTCTTCGAGGGTTTTTCTACACTGCAGCAATAAAGCAGATTTAATTCATGAAATGCAATATGCTCCTTCCATAATTTTTACTAATTGGAAGGTTATGGACATACTCAATAATCATGTGGTTCTGTGAAAACACACAAGAGAATTAAAACCCAGTGATCTTGGGACACCAAGGGAAATTTATTATCTTTCATGAAGATGACAGAGTTACATCTACATTTTAAAACTTCAACTATAATAAATACTCTGAATGTGGCACACTGAATACAGAGATCAACATGAAATATAGGCCTTTACCTCCCCCAAAAAATAAACATTTGAAAAGCCAATTTTTGTCATTTAAATGTGGGAACAAAGTAATTGCAACTTCAAGTGCACCAAATTTTTAAAAGATATATCACGGTTGCCTCTTCTTGGACATTATACTTTAATGAAGAGAAAACTTGGACTATAGCAACAGGAAAGAAATGAAAAAAATCTGGTGCAGAGTGGGAAGAGATAAAAACAATAATGAAAAAGCCAAGCTCTGTTAGCAGCTTAATTAGGAGACTGACATCCTGGAGGAATAAATTAATTTAACGACAGCCAAAGTTCAACTGAATTTGAAGAAAACCAAGGATTGGAGAAATAAATGAGGTCAAAGAAGAACAACTTCGCATGTTGGTGATATGCCTCTTGTGTGATGATGATCATTTCCATACTTTCAAGTGTTCCAAAGATTTTCACAACCATATTGAAACATTAAAACTACATTCAGATGAAAAATGTAGTGACTGAAAAAGTGAGAGCATTTGGTCCCTGGGGAACCTCATGTAGCAGAGCAATTATCCCCACTTTCTCCCAGCAGGTTCCATGATTGTTAATTCATATTAAAATGAAAATGGCAGAGATTCTGCACACAATCAAATCATGTACACAGATACATACCTAAGACACAATTTCTAAGACATGAATGCTCAATTGAGACAAGAGGAGTGAATGAGCTTTTCTTTGAAGTTGTGCAATATGCGAGACCTAGATAAGTAATTGTCTCAAGCGTACCATCATGATATTCATGACAGACAACATGCACAGGACATGACAAGTATATGAGAATGCTGTGAGTGAAGTGAAATCATCAGTGAAAGCTGATCAGATAATGACCCAGTCACAAATTAAATCCAATCTTCCAAACACTGTTCAGTTGACAATTCCAATGAAAATACTAATGTGACAGCTTTTACATGAACTACGCTTTAAAGCCTCATTGTATTTTCTAAAGTTAATGAATGAGATACTGGAACTTGTGATATCTACAGAAACCAGTATGTATTGAAGTAGGTATAAGACTAACATGAAGGCAGAGGGATTCATGAAAGAAAGGTGAAAATAAATCAAGAGCACACAATGAAGATCCTTCACCCACTTTCCACACTAAAGGCTGCATGTGAAGAGAGGGAAAGACATATGGAGAAAACATTGAGCAAGTACTGTTGTAAGCATGCTATAATATATTAACTTGGAATCATGAAACATGCTTCATGGAGCATTCATTTCAAAGGGAATGAGACCTGTGCAGCTGATGCATTGGAAGTCCACAATGTGAAAGTGATAGTAACCTTTTCACTATAATGATTTAGTTTACTTAATGCTAGCAAGCCATGTCAGTATTGTGGGTGACAATTATGCTTGATCTCAGTGTCAAGTCAGCATGTTATATATTCAATTAAGCATGGCTGTATCATGACAGAACAAAATTAGACAGGTTCTTCTTTTCAAGAAAAGAAGGTGTCTGAAAGTATTCCCTTAAGAAGCATTGAAAAAACCCAGAACTGGAGGGTCCTGGGGCCCATTTCGCCAAGAAGAAAACTTGGCAATGGAAAGATTAACAGCATCCAGTGAAATTAAATCATAATCTGCATGAAAAGCAGGAGTACATGTTGCAAGCAATGGGTGTGTGATTCACATGAACCCCTTCCCATGCTCCTCCATATTTGTAATTGTAATATTTCTCTTGCAAAGAGGGTGAAGTTCACTTATCACTATAAGCTTGATATGAAACACCTTGACTAAGTTTCTCAGATATGTTCAAAAGATGAATAAGATAGATGAAAGAGCAGGACTTCAATGGTCATGTTTATTATCACCATGTGAAGTCCTCTTTCACTTCAACAAAAAACATTGAGGCAGTGTATTTTGGGGTAGGATATTACTAAATGCTAATTTTGCTTTGCTAAATGCTTGCTAAACAGTAAAAATGAACAAAGACTTTATTCAGCACTTTTCTCAAATATTGACACTCCCTGGAATATCTCCAATTAAGGTGCTGATTTTGCATACAAGGCACATTTGGCAATTCGACCCATACAGAGACTTTAGTCTATTGGTCCCCAAACTTTTTCAGGGGAGGGTATCACAGACACTTTGGTCCACCTTGAGTGGGCCACATTGAAAAAAATGCAACACTTCTGCATGGTTAACCCCTTCATCTGGCCATCAATCTCTTGGTTAAGCTACTCTAAACCAGGAAGTCCAATTTAAAAATGAGCGGCAATCGAAAACCGCTTATTCCTGATGTATATATACACACTTCCACCTCGTGCAGCCATTGAAACTGCCACTAGGAGCCATTGCTCATGTAAATGCATCGGTTCAAGTTTCTGCTTTGTTACAAAGTGTATTTTCAATAAATATTCCTCTCTTTTTTTCTCCTTAACTTCACTTACTTGCAAGGAAATACATTTTTCCTCTGCAGCAGATGAATGCTCCAAATTTCAGGCAACTTTAGGCAAGGTGATCATATCATCATAATACATAACCACCAAAATGTTAACAAGTGTATGAATATCTAAACAATGACTAAACTTGCTAGTTTTCAGCAAAGGATTCCAAATCTGGAATTTAAAAAAGTGTTCATCGCAACTATTCTCAAGTGCCGATAAAACGATTACAAGTGAAAAAGTCAATTATTGGTTACTCTTAGTAGGCCAAACTTTGAATACCGCTGATTTAGTCGAACCCAAGATGAGAATGGGAGACTCTAGGAATTCAACAACTGAGAACTACATCACTTTTTCAACTGCATAATATGCATTTTTCTCCAAAGCTTCTGCAGACCTGGAACATACTTAAGAAAATGTCCATGATGAAAGGGTGCCAATCTGGCATCCCAAAAAGTGCCAATGACTACCTGAACTAAAGTAGCTAATGTAATTTACTCTAAGAGAAAAAACTGAAGAATAAGATAACATTTCCCGATGGATCAAGGTTTGGAATTGATTGGCTAATAGAAGAACTCAACTCACTCTCAATTCCGACCCACTTTGAAGCTTTTCCACTGATATCTTCCCTTCAAGTACCCTGAAGATTCCTCAAATCTGTGATGCACTTGGATGCATCCTCTTTGAGAGAATCTGAAGAAGAAACAAGACATGGGGGGAAAAAACAACCACATAAAAATGTTCAAAAATATGCTATGATTTTAGAAGCATCCACATTGAGTTATCAATATTTCATCATGTAAAAAGTTTTATATGCTGCTTTGATTCATATCTTAGCACTTGCAATCATTTCTCATTTAACTTAAATAAACTGAAAAGAGAAGAGACATAATGCAAGGAAGTGAAGCAATGCACTTCCTTCAGAAAAACATGGTTATTTCCATGTACTTGCTTGTAATCTTATTGTCCAAATTCAATGATGGCATAAGACAAATTTCAGTCAAGTTTTTCTTCACAGAGAATGCTTTCTTTTCCAAAAGGCAATGTTGAGGATAAATGAATAAAAAGTGATGCATGCAAGATATTGAACTCAACAGATAAGGGAGCTTGCTGCTCCTCATCTTGGGGCAAAATGAGCGCACACGTACACAGGGTATTGGGAAGGGGCTGTTAATTTTGCATTGACACGAGGAACAGCAGGCTCCCTTGCTTGCTTTTGCAATCCTTTCTGATCAAGTTTAGCACAAAACTTTATCCAAATATGACCTTAATTTAATCTAAAAGCAAATCTGAACTTCATTTAACCTGAAAGGGACTTTGTTGGCAGCATTTTTATAAGGCTTTAAGTTCAAGTTCAGACTTAGATTATGTAGAAACAGGCCTCTGGAATCAACATTAAATACTTCCTCCAGGCAACAAGGTTGTTGGAGAAGGGACAACCTTGAAGAAATCCAAGCATCTCACCCTTTTACCAATTTCTATTCTCCAGGCAGCACAGCTCACCTAAGATGGTTCTGCCCCTGTAAATCTGACTGCTACCCTCTAGTCCCATTACTCATCATTTGAAGTGACATGCCAAGCAACCCCTTTGCCCAATCCTGAGAGTAATTTAGACAGGCAAAGAGACTATAATTACTCACTCTCCCATATAACCTCTTAAGTTTTGGTAAATTTTCATTTTTTACTTCAGCAGTTCATTCATACATTCAAAACCAGTTGAATGTATGTTAAAGCCAATTTCAAATGAATTGTACTGGTGTGTCCTTGAAATCCAAATGGAGCGCAATGGGAAGAATAAACTGTAATAGAGTAGACCTTCTTGACCATAGATCGCAGTATTGATCGGTGATTTGACTGATCCTTGACAGGTTCCTAATTCAGCAGTCAATAACCAACCCCATCAAGTAAAAGCAAAAATATGGAAATTTTGCTTCATGTGATAATGCTCTTTGTCACATTCATGACTGCAGAGTCCACACCCTCAAAGCTGACTGGGAAGGAGAAAGAGAGATTTGGGATGGAGGACAAGATGGCAGGAGAAAAAAACAGGACAGGTACAATGTGCAACTGGGAACATCAACCACACTCAACACAGGAAGTTAGTCAGCACCACAAGAGACGAAGAGGACACTGATACACAGAGCCTCATCCAAGCTCAAGGGGGAATATCTTAAAACACAGCATCACACTACAGGGTCATATACACTCTGTCCCAAAAAATGTTGGACCCTTTTTCAATTTGTAGCTTCTTGTTATTGGTTCAGACTATCACTATGCGCTTTTGAGGGCTGACCAAGACATCAAATGAGCACATGCTTGCAAAGTTGTATCAAAATCCATCTATTCATTTCAGAGATGCAGCAGCTTATTCTAAGCCAGGTCACGCCAGACCATTTCTGCAGGCTGCACTCAGCGCTGGCACAGCCAGCCAGAGAGGAAACACACCATCAGAGGAGAATGCAAACCGTGCAGCATTTGGGTTTCAATCAACATCACATAACTGTTCACTGACTGACACAATGCACTTCGAGCATATCATCTGAATGTCAAACAATGAAAATTATTGATGTTATTTTAGTCATGCACATCATGTCAGTTATCCTGCATGAGGCACAAAAATAAATTTGGAATAATGCTCCCATACAGTTCTGACTGCACTACCTTACTACTGGTACGCTCTGAATAATGTGTATTTCAGGAACTAGCAAATGAATATTGTTATAACTTTGCATGCATGTGCTCACTTGATGTCTTAGTCAGTCCTCAAAAGCACACAGCGATAGTCTGAACCAATTACAAATGGCTAAAAATTGAATGACTAAAAAAAGGGTCTATATTTTTTAAGGAAAGAGTGTAATTGCACTTGAAGCTGTGAAACTTACAGCAGGGATGATGAAGCTTGCAAGCAAGCAGTTGACATTTAAGAGTTTTCTCATACACTGCTTAGGTCACAACTGCTCAAAAAAGAACCCTGCATAAGGATCTAAGGTACTTACATGAAAACAAGTAACATTAATGGCATCTGGAGAACTAACACAGAAAAATGACCACTCAGATTTCATGGGACACTCCTCATCTAAGAGCCTATTCATATTCCATGCACGCTTATTGGAGAGCAAGGATGAAGAGAATTGTAACGTATGCCGGCCTATGACCGCAAGTCCAGCGTATCGATAGAGTCCGGGAGGGGAGGAGGCGGAAGGAGGTGAACCAAAACATCCATCAACACGTGGAGGGAGGCGAACCCAGTGTTTGGGGTCAAACAACACGTAGAAGGGCTCCGTACAGTTTATATGCAGAATCCTTCCTTCTCGAATGTGCTACCCAAACACTGGGCAAGGAGCCATATCATCATTATACGAATGAGTATCAAAGTCCCTCCAATCAAATCCAATCGCCAAAACCTATCCTCCAATCCAACAAGCTTTCAGCGGAAGATCCCTCCCTCAATCCCTCACCCTGAGGTGCCTGAAGAGCTCGAACTCGAAGAAAGCGAGTCAGTACCGATTTGACCGGGGTACTCGGGCCCTTTTAGATCGTGGGTGTTTCGAAACTGGCCGCCTTTCTCTCTATAGAAACATACAGGGGAACAACGATATAGTTAGAGGATTCGTTTAGAAGGTCGTGAGTTTTCCCTAGAACTTGCAAGGTTTTTCTGGAGGTGAAGACCAGCCCTTTGTCATTGAAATTATTGAAAAGGGGTTGGACCGGTTGTTTGGTCAACATTTCCTTTGTCTTTTTTTTAGTATTAATTTTCTTTTTGGAAATACATTTTTTTGGTTTTCTTGAATTACGCCTTAGTTACTCCCACTCGAATTTGAATTGGCACGGACCTGTTTTCCTGGAAGGAATTCATTGTAGTGGAATCGGGGCGCGTTAAGGTAAAGTTTCTATTTAAACTTAATTAATAGTTGATATGATCAGAAATCCTACCGACTGCGCCTCGTGCCCGTTACAGAATGATGTGACTGTGTGGGTACCATTCTAGCTGAGACACCAAGACAGAAGTAATCTAGAACAGAATCAAGAGTGCCTTCCTCCATCAACTAACCTGCTCGGCCATGAAGTTCAGATATGGTTTTCCCATGTTTCCGGGCCTTCTCCATGTTTGCATGCATCATTCCCATTACCTGTGTTAGAGAACATAATTTTGGAACTACATCTTTGAGACTTGAAATTTTGATTTGCAAATCTATTTGGTAAATAATATTGAAAATGGAAATACTTAAATAACCTTGATTCCAAGTATTAAATGAGTCCTTCAGCATTCATGCTGCTCTGGAGAATGAGAGGATCATGCTAAAAGATATTGAATGTACTATATCCACACTGAGAATAATATGAGTTGCATTTCACACATTCCATTAACCATTTGGACACAAACCCAGACCAGTCAGCCTTCTGCCTACCCCATGATCAAGAGTTAATTGCTTCCAGCAGAAGCATGTGAATCCACCCATTGGATGCATTCTGTTACCGAATGCTCCCTTTCTGCAACCAGAGATATTTTTTCCATCAAGCATCAGCTCTTGCAGCAGCAACCAGAGTGCACATGGACCTATACAAAAGTGCTCCCTGAACAGGATTTCACAAAGAAAACATCCACAGGCACATGAAAACAATCTGGTCAAAGCATAAACACCCAATTTGAGGAGGAATTTCAAGGTAATGTATCCAAGAAACTTTGGGCTTCTCAATACCCTTTGGTTGATCACTAAAAAGGAAATCCTTGTTTTACAGCACAAGTAATTCACAAGTAAAGTACCATCAGATCCACTCTAGAAGAGCTGCAACAAGGTGAAAGAAGCAATTCTGTCTTAAAACACTGCTGAATGAGTGATTTCTCACAGCACTGTTACATTGCCCATGCATTCATTATCTCTCCTCTGATCACCACCTACAAATTAACCATTCTTGATTTTCACAGCTTGAATTAGTTCTCCCCAATCTATCCCATTTAATCAATTTGGGGACCAATGTAACTCCATGGTAACAATCGCTGAAAAATTATCAATGCATTCATGAAATCTCCAACAATGGCCTTCCTTTATAGAAATAATAATCAAATAAGTAGGAATCAAGATATTACGAGCAATTACCGTGGAAAATCAAGAAAAACCATTATTCTGAACACTAGAACAGAATGGAAAAAACCTCCCTTTTAGAAATATTTCAGCTTCCAAAACAAGACTAAAATACATCAGAAAAGACCTTCCCAGGGATAGATGAAAGTGAGACCTATCACAGCCGCTATGTAAGAAAGTGAAAAGTTTTAGCCCATTAAATAATATGTTAATTTTAGAAACAATAGCTTTCATAGTTACAATAACAACTAAGTGTGGGAGTGCAATTTTCCCATTGTGCTTGCATATGACTTGTCCACTTCTCATGAGTTCCACCATGAAACATTTCACAGTTTCAGGTGATTGCAGCTCAAAAAGTTGTATAGAGTAAAAATTACCAGGGTGAATAAGGTGAATCTGAACCACACTGAGAATTTCTCCTTCAACAAATTCAGACATAGCTGGAACTCCCGAGAATAAGATTGAGTACCTCGTCGAATTGTGCCCGATCCTGTTGGAACTTTTCATCTTCTGCCTGTTGAGAGGGATTCGGCTGGTTCTCCGAACTCCCTGCCTCAGTCGCCCTAATAAAAAACCAGATTTCACATTTAGCATTCAATATTGAGATTTAGCTTATTGCCAACAGACTCCATCCCAAACTCTCAATATCAAAGAATAAAAACCCCTTCTTCAAGAAGAAACTCTTAGAAAGTGACTCATTGTCACTGTGAGCAAATTCAGTAATTTCTAATTCCACACAGCTACAACAAATTCAGAAATGAGAGAAACATGCAATCGGTGTTGTACGACAAAACAAACTGAATTTAATCAAGTCTCACTGGCAATTGGCTCATGTATATTGCATGGATTGTAGCAAGATGCAATTTTAATTATCAATGATTTGCAATTGATACAATGCATTTGAGTGGTCCTCACCATCATAGTTCGTCACCACAACAGGAATGCTAATTATTGGCTTAGCCTTGTGATCGATTTCAAACTCACATTTCAGACAGCACTGGATGCAAAGACCAATGGGGAGAACTTTCTCTGCAGGAATACAGGATCCTTGAGTAGTGCAAAATGAACTTTTCGAGCAGCCTGTATGCACACTTCCAAGTATGGTCCAAATGTGCCCGACAAGGTGAATGAAACCAGGCAAAAACTCTGCTCAACTGGGAGGCAGGATATGTATGTTGCACAAAATCTGGAAATTGAGAAAATGGCATTCAGGGACAGCAATATTCAAGCTGAGTCTGGATAAAATGAAGTTGCTTAAATTTATGCCTAATGCATAGTCCTACTGCAACACAAGTATGGTCTCATGCCAGAACCACATGCACGGGCTCGTTCGAGGTATGGTCGATCGGGGACGACTCGGACGATCAATGTAGAATGAAGTTCATCTGCTCTCGATCCATATCATGGATTTCCCTATTGATATCCGGCCAGTGGTACAAGACAGGCACTGGAGGCACCAGACTGAAAAATTGCTCCCAATGGCAAGGCCACACTCGGGCACTTGCCGTCTACACAATGGAATAAAGATTCCAATGCTTCTTTGGTCCACTACTCAGGTGATGCATAGGATGCTTGGCTGTCCTCATATAGAAATGATTAGTTACTCTCAGGAGACAAGTGCATTAGGAATATCAGAGAGCTTGGCTGTCTGCATGAGAAAGGATGAGTTGAGATCAGTCAGTGCCTGGATGATCTAGAAATCAGGAACAGGTGATGAGCTTGGATAAGGACAAGACAAGCTAAAGGAAAGCACTCTGCCTGCAAAATGTTGGAGATTCAGCAGGTTTTGGTCTAGATGTTGGCCGCTCCGATCGCTTCGGGCTCCAGTTAGGCCAATAGGGTCACACATTGTGTGCACAAAGTGCACTGTTCCATGAGGCTTTTAACTGACTTTTCACTGCAGTCCAGCACTGTCTCTTGACAGGATTCAAAGACAAAACATGCTGGTTTACATTGGATCCACATGCCACAATGGAATGAAAAGGGAGATTTGAGATGAATCCCATGTGCAAAGAAGATGCAGAAGAGATGGTAAGGAGATGCAAATAGGAATCGTCAACAAGAGGGGAAGGAAAGAACCCTACAGACAAGCAGGCGCACAACTATACCCCAGAAACACGGCATATAAAACTAGACGGAGCATGCCTATCGAAAATACGCTACCGTTGCAGCCAATCACAAGGCACGACCGCCATCTCTCATGCCGTCAGTCCTGCAAATACATGCAGTTTTCTGCATCGTCACTTCACACTCTACTGTGACTTTGGACGTTCACCATGTTAGTGGAGACTTCATTCAACCCTACATAGAAAAAGAAATTGCATACGGTAGAAAATAATCCGAGTCCTATCGTTGTGATAGGCAACTCGGTTCCCATACCGTCAGGTTCTCAACATACACTTGGCATGATTACCGTTCGCCTCAATTTATATTATGCCTCTTCATCTATCATACATTGATGGTAACGGCAACGACCGACAGCCTTCCAAATCGACGCTAGGCCTTCGACTATCCTCTCCAGTCCAATTTCGGCCCGCGCCACGTGACTTCACGGCGTAGATAAACTAACCACCAGGGTTGCTAAATCACATAGTTGTGACTGCAAAGAGAAAGGTCAGGTACTTCTTGATTATCCATCACTTAGAATATAATCACAAGAAATCAATCCAGATAAATATGTCGTTGACAATCCCTGGAAAGAGCTTCCAAATAATCCAATCAATAAGCTACGAGGCTCCGAAGAAGACGAAAGAAATCCTGCAGCCCTGCTCCGTTCCTTGCAAATTTGGCTACTGCTGTCGTCTGCTACGGAGGAGGTTGCACCACACCGATGCAAAACTTCCATTTAAGAACAAGGATTGCTAGTGAAATCGGGCAAAGAACTCGACGAGAATGAGGGAATAAGATGATATGTCATCGGGAACAAAAGAAGCACCTGTAAATGCACTCAAGATTCAAGGTTCAAGTTGGTTTAGTGCAGTGGCGTATTTAGGCTGAAGGGTCAGGGAAGGCAAGGCAACAGAGCGAGGGCGCCAAACCCCACCCGAGTGATATCAGGTGAGAAAATTATTTCCTCCAAGGGGGCGCGAGGGGGGGCGGCTGTCCCCCCTGCCCCCCCCCCCCCTGCCCCCCCCGTAAAATACGCCACTGGTTTAGTGGTATTAAGAGACGAAAACACCTATTTGGATACCACGTATCGAGGTCGAGTGATCCTTAACTTTTAGGGTTCGCCTACTCTTCTTTAAGCTAAACATGTTCGTATTTTTTATGCATATCCTAGTTGCTTACTGCCCAGTCCCTTAATTCAAGAATGTCCCCCTTCTTGACCACACGAGCATCTTAAAAATCGGCTCTTAAAAAAAAAAAAAAATCTCTTCTTAAAAATCGGCACGGAATGGGCAGCCACGACTTCGTCGTCTAACGCATTCCACGTGCTCACAACTCTCCAAGTAAGAAAGTCGTGCTTCAACCTGTGCCTCACCGACGCCTTACGAAACTCACGAGACAACGGCCATTCTGAGAGCTCCTTCTGCTCCCGTTCCGCTCTCATGTTTATTGATAATTTCAGGGTCATGAATAGTGGCCAAAGAAGCAAGCAGCAAGGATGGCGTACTTATTGCCGCGGAGAACGATGGGAAGAACATTTCGGAAATCCCCACCAAGAACCGGGGGTTGCCGCCAAATGTTACATTGTTCAAACCGGAGGTTAAAGACAGAGTGTACGCGATTCTGGCCGTTGGCTAGACCAAGCAACATGGGGTGTTATGGTGGGTGTGTGTGTGTGTGTGTGTGTTTGTGGAAGCTCTTCAGGCCAAAAGCTTAGAGATGTGAACTTGGGGTTTCGACAGAACTCTTCCTTACCATTCGAGATTATGCATTTTCGGAATCAAATTTGGAATTCGGCAATACGAAAGGGAGGGGAGGCAAATTTCATTGCAAATAGGAGATTCGCTCTCGTCTCGCCATCTTTTGAATGAAATTGGAAACGAGAGTTGCCATGGTTCTCGAAAGGGAACGCTGACTGTAGTGCCTCCCTTAAGCGACCGTGAATCCAGGGATTTCAAAAGCTCATGATGAAATACGAGGTTCGTCGCTGTATGCGTTCGCAAGGGCATTCCCAAGGAAACCAATTACCATAATTTCCTCGTTTGTTTTCCATGGCTATTAATGCATATCTGAGGAATTGCACGAGCAACGCCAGGAGGTCGGCGAGTGTGAAAGTTTTTCCAAGGGTTGGATTGTTTTCCCTCATCGCAATAGCATTAGGAGATGAGAAAAAATACAGGTATACTGTTCATGAGCATCGTATTGTTATTTATCTTGCGAATAAATAACAATACGGTGATTTCCGGATCATCGCTCTGCTTGTGTCACATCTTACTTTCTTTTTCTTCGCCTCCATTTGCATCCACTTCCCTCGCGCCATTCACATGATCGGGGACCGAGGAAAATCACGGGTCCAACGAAACCTATAGGCTTTATACATATGACAGGTTATTTTTGTCAATAACACGCACCTCGGTCACGTCCCACTAGGCCCACCAATGAGGGTACTACAGATAAAGCGGACATTTCCGCTTCGGCCCATTCATGCCATCCATGGCCCATGGATGTATGTGTGGGCTGATGTTCTTAGCCCAAGCTTGTGACATGCTGACTGGGTGTCTTTATCGACGCAAATCTGTCAGGGTCAGGCATTAATGTTTTCAGAGATTGGCTTGAGTTGGTGCATGTTTCCGAAAACGTCCAGCCTAATCCCATTGCATTTCATATGAACTTTTCCCTGTGTCACCGTTCCCTGGACCCACTNGGCGACATTTTGTCCTGGCGACATTTTGTCCTGGCGACATTTTGTCCTGGCGACATTTTGTCCTGGCGACATTTTGTCCTGGCGACATTTTGTCCTGGCGACATTTTGTCCTGGCGACATTTTGTCCTGGCGACATTTTGTCCTGGCGACATTTTGTCCTGGCGACATTTTGTCCGGCGACATTTCGTCCTGGCGACATTTTGTCCGCGACATTTCGTCCGCGACATTGTGTCCGGCGACATTTTGTCCTAGCACCGCATTAGGAGATGGGAAAAAATACAGGTATACTGTTCATGAGCCGGGATCTTGCGAATAAATAACAACAATATGGTGATTTGCGGATCATCGCTCTGCTTGTGTTACATCTTACTTTCTTTTTCTTCGCCTCCATTTGCATCCACTTCCCTCGCGCCATTCACATGATCGGGGACCGAGGAAAATCACGGGTCCAACGAAACCTATAGGCTTTATACTTGTGACACCGCCAAAGTTGCACACGAGAACGTTCAACATGTTTTCAAAAGAGGTATTTGGACGCGCGCTCAAATATGGTGCCTTTTCGTCACAAAACATGCTGTATTTCGAGGACATTTGTCGAGTTTTAGATGCTTTCCTAACGCACATCAATCGTATCCATCTGACAATGGCTCGAAACGAAGCTTCGCACCATTGACACTGCATGGCGCCAAGGTAGTCCCTGAAACGTGTCATTTTCTGATATGTCTGGATTCAATTACCTTATACCTTTCACAAAGTAGTCGATCTCTCTCCACATAATCCAGAAAGAACTACTGAAATTCTTGAAGAAATCGGTCTTTAGAGGTAACCCATTCCATGGAGCCTAAAGAGGACTCTGGTTCCGAAAGATAGAGGGAAGAGCGTTCAAGATGACTCCTTAAGGGGTGTTCAACATGACTAATGCAATTTAAGTGATGAACAGAGTATATTCGAAACGTTAAGTGCATATTGGAAGAATAATGAAGCAGATATTGTTATTGAACCCCGTTTTTGGAAATATGAAATTCGGGTTTAGGAAAAAAGCCACCCGGAAAAAAGCCACCCGGAAATAAGACCCCCAAAATTGGCATAGGCGGAAAAAAGCCACCCGGAAAAAAGCCACCCGGAAATAAGACCCCCAGAATTGGCAAAGGCGGAAAATATAACAACCCCGAGGAAGTTAATGGAATGCCGGGTTCAATGAAACGTTGATTGAACACGTTCGGGTGCAACTGGGTGGTAGTCTCTGAAGATCATTGTGATACCTTACAGGACATCAGAAAACAGAGTTTCCACCGGTTTGCAGCAGGTTTACCTGCTACTAATTATTATAATGTCATGAAGCATCCTGTTGAGGGCGCTGAAGGCATAGGGAGGTGCGAAGGGAGCTTCATCTTATAGTAATAGCTTCAAAGTCCTCAAATTCATTTGTTATTTGCTTCCTACTGTTGGGGACGGACACTGCAAGTTGAACTGTCAACAATCGGCACGGAATACTTAAAACGGAATGGGCAGCATTTGGTCCCACCACCAAAGTTGCGGTTATTCCAGTCCATGCAACAGACAATACGATTTCTCCTTCTCCCCTCATGACGTGGGCATTGCACAAGAAGGACATATGCACAATAGTGCATTGCTGCACCATCGATCGATTACGCTGGTTGGAGTTTCGAAACACACATCACCCTATCATTGATTTGTGCCCTTGGCAACAGCATTGATCTAAGGGAACGGCTTACTGTGAACCTGGTTACTGTATGATGGGTATATATGGGCGTAGAAAAGGGGAGCACTTCAGTTCACTCTAAAAATTTTTTTGTGAAACGTCTACACCGTTTTTTTGTGAAGTTTATTTCATAGGACTCTGGAAGGTCTCCTCAACATTGAGTAACTCTCTCAATATCGTACTCTTTCCAATCCTAAAAAGGTTTTTCCTTTCAAAGAAATGAACATATAGAAATAAAAATTTCTCAGTCAATGACTTCAAGACAGTGTTCATAAACATTTCTTTATTCGTGCATATTTCCTACAAACGAGTATTTTTTTTTTGCCAGAAGAAAAAGGGCAAACAAACTCGCTATGGACGCGACTTCGGCGCTTTATGATCAAAGTCAATTACAAATTAATTTAAAGCATTCGTTTTCGAACCGCACGTTGGGTTAATGGGTTGGGTAACGTTAATGGGTTGGGCGATCATTGCACCTGCGGGGCTCGCACCTTAAAAATGAAGTAGCTAAGGACAATTTTCGAAGTGACATCATTTGACATCAGACATCACTGGTAACGCGACAAACTATGACATAAGATCATAGCCAGC